TGGTACTTTTAGGCCTAAGCGATTTATTGTTTGGTGATGTGAGATTTGAACCATTGGAATTGAAAAACTTTTCAAGATGTCTCTTTCCTTGACTAAGTAAGAAGATGACATAGTTTTAGTCTGCTGTTCATGTTGTCCATCAATGCAAGAGGAACCTGACGGGAGAAGGGTTCTATGCTGGGGTCAGCTAGTCCCAGAATGGCTGTACCGTGTATTGTTAGGCAACCACCTGCAGCTCTTTACTAATTGACATGTTGAAGTCACAGTCGAAAAAGAGTCGATTTGTGCAGTTACTACAGCTACAGTTAGGTGTATTTTGCTTTTATGGGGTTTTACAGGAGTAATGTGAAAGTGAAGAGTTTGTCAAAGACAGGAGCGATTTAGTTTGTGAAACTGTTGTAATTTAATGTAGTAGATTTCCATGAAAGTGATACAGAATTCTTCATATTTTTTTCTCAGATTTTTTCGACTGTTGTGGGTAATTTTGAAGGAAATTGTTTTCAAGTGTGTTTAGGGTTTGTGATTTCAGAGTGTTTATTTGAGTTGTTGATAGATTGACATTTTTATCTTTGGAGATGTCAACACTGAAGGAATTATTTCGGGAGAAGTAGTGGTATGGGTCTCCCATGAGAGTAAAAATTGTATGTCAGGGATTTGGTGGAAAAGAAAATCGGTATGGGGTAGCTGATGGGACATTGGCAGCAGAAATGGTTTTGTATGAGAAATCCCTGGCTCCCAAGGTCATGTGTGGAACTTCAGTAATGGTGATCAATGCTACACTGAGAGAGGGTGTACATAAGGTTGTTGAAATTCGGAAGAATGCAAGAATTTGCAAAACTGGTACAGTTGAAGTTCCGTATCATCTGGAATTGGAGGCGAGTAGTTTTGTGAACCCTGCACCAGCAGCGTTTTTTCAATTGCGGAAGTGAAGACACCACCATTGAAAACCCTGACGTCAGTGAAAGGACAAGTGGTTGGTGTGAGTAGAGAAATTTGTTTCAGTGGTGATGTGCATTTTTTGGAAAGAGTTC